GGTAGCATATGCAATATTAGGCTGAGAACTTTAGAATGAAACTGTTATTTTTTATCAAAATGTAAGGAAATTTGGTTTTTTGTTTTTTTTTTAAATTTTATTTATTTATGTGTGTGTGTGTGTGTGTGTGTGTGTGTGTGGCCAGCTCAGCCCACCAGGGGGCGGGGCTGGCAGGCATGTGGTGCTGGGGGATTGAACTGCGGTCCCTGTGCTTTAGCTAAGCTTGTTCTAAGTAGGTGCTTTAGACCACTGAGCCATCTCACCAGCCCCAATGGAATAAGGATTTTTTTTTTTTTTTTTTTTTTGCTCCTCGAATGCCTTCAGGGCACTTTTGGCTGGCTGGAGGGTTGTGGGGATCGAACTAGAACAAGCTGAGGCTGACAGCTTTGTGGAAGCAGCCACTTAAAGAACTGAGCTAGAGCCAGGCCCCCAATGTAAGGGAATTTGCAAGCTGTACCTAATCCCTAGGAATTTCTTCAGTAAAATAAAAATGAAAAAAGTTGAGCAAAAGATGTAATTTAGTGGTAGAAGATAGAGTACGCAGCATATTAGAGGCTTCAGTCCGCAGCACCACACACACACACACACACACACACACACACACGTGCATGCACAAAATTTTAATTTAATTAGCAAAACCCAATAAAATAAAAAAGAAAGAAAAAGAGTTGCTCAAAGCCAAGAATCCAGTTCCACCCTAAGGATATAGGAAATGATAACTGGAAACTAAGTTAATCTTTAAAAGTTTTGATAGATTGGAATTTCTACCTGGTCATTCATCCATAGGAAAGTAAAAAGTCCCCACTGAATACTCTAATCAATAAAAACAACGCACTAACATTCCAACAGAACAATAGACAAAGGGCATTAGCTGTAAAGAAACTTAGAAAAATGTAAAAACAGTTATATATTTATTAGCAAGGTAAAATACAAATACAAATGAAAAGAGAAAATTATTGAATCCAGGGTCTCACAAACGCTAGGAAGTTCTCTTGAGCAACATCTCCAGTCCAAAACAGGGAACTTTTTAAGTTTCCAAGCTGGCAAGAGTAATAGAGGGTGCGGCACAATGGACAAGTCACTGAAAAGGGCTCCAATTGTTTAGTAAGTAGAAATACGATCTGGAGTCCTACTGTATGTATCATAAGCAAATAATGACAGGATCGCTTTGCACTTGAGGCCCGTGTGGTCCACATAATGAGTGTAGGGCCACCCTGAACTACACAGGGGGGCCGATCTCAAAACACAAAAAGGGACGTAGGGTGGGGGAGGCTGCGTATGCCTGAGGCCTTAGGTTCCATCCCCAACATCGAAAGGACAAAGATCACTTGCACTGAGGCCATGCCAACATTCCTACTGTAAGCATCTTGGTACATAACCATCCACACTCATTTTTTGTATGTCATACAAACTTGTTTAAAAAAAATAAAAATTAAGAGTGGGGCATGGTGGCACATACTTGTAATCCCTACACTCTGGGAGGGTGAGGCAAGAGGAACACAAGATTGAGCCCAGCCTGGGGAACTAGAGATTTAGCAAGTCCCTGCTGTTACTGGGTTTTGGGGTGATAGAGTCTCTTTCTTTTTTTTCCTTATTTATGTGTGTGTGTGTGTGTGTGTGTGTGGCCAGCTCAGCCCACCAGGGGGCGGGGCTGGCTGGCATGTGGTGCTGGGGGATTGAACCGCGGTCCCTGCGCTTTGCTAAGCTTGTTCTAAGTAGGTGCTTTAGACCACTGAGCCATCTCACCAGCCCCATAGAGTCTCTTTCTAGAGGAGATGTCTAGGTTTTTCTTGTCTTGAACAACAAGAGAGAAATAGAACAAAGGGCCAGAGAGATAGCTCAGTGGACTAAGCACCTGCTTAGGCAAGTGCAGGGACCCTGGCACTATATGCCACTCCGGCCCACCCCAGGTGTGCTGAGCCAGTGACTGAGTCTGGCCGCGGTGGCACACACCTGTAATCCCAGTGCTGAGAGGTTTGAAAAAAGGAGGATCAGTATGAGTCTGAGCTGGTAGTCAGACTCTGTACCAAATTAACTAAATAAATAATTGACAAAACAAGCACAAAAGGTAGTGAGCTTTCATATTTGTTAAAGATAGGAAAAGAAACTTGTTTTGCAGAGTGAGGCTGGGAGAAGTAAATGTAAGAAAAATAAGCACGCTGCAGAATGAGAGCAGTCTCCTGAGGACGAGAGAACACAGCCGCAGAGAGCTCCACAGTCTCCACTCCTCAGACGCACCAGGTCTGGGCTGCCCTACCCAGAACTGCATGACTTCTCAAGAAAAGTCCATGCGCAGGCTTCCAAGAAGTGTTCTGGGATTTTGCACCTAATGGGCCACTACCTGTCAGCCCACCTCCCTTGTCCTAATCTCCTGCCTCACCATGTTATATGAACAAAAAGCAGGCTGGTGAGGTAGCTAAGTGCAAAGGCAGTAGTTTCAGCCCCCAGTATGACAAAGATAAATAAGTAATAAATGTGGGGTTATATGGAAAATCAGTTCTGTGCAAACTGAGTTTGTGATTTTGCCATATTCAAGAGTGAAGTTGCAAACTAAATGGGGACTAAGAGAGTTTTTATTGGAAATAAGAAGAAGCAAAGACTCCTCGTTTCTCCAGGAGGGGCACCCAAAAAGTAGTGTTTCTATGTAGCCCCTTGGGTCAGAGCTTTTTATAGATAAGTAGAAAACAGGAATCACTCAGTTGCTATGCGTGTGCCTACCACAAGTGGCTCAGCGAATTTAAAATGACCAATTGGAACCCAGGATCTTTAATCAGCATGTAGGGTTTAAAGGAAACGGATTTTAGAAAAAACTCATTATTTTGCATTTAAGTTGAAATTCCCTTTAGGAGCCAGGGGCTGCACTCCTTGTCCCTGGGGAACTTCCTTCGTGGTTCACAGTCCTAGGGTTCACTGTCTATTCTTACTTTAATTCTATTAAAACAGCTGATCACCCAGCTCTGGCTCAGGTGTCCTTTTCCTAGCTAGCTGCCTTCCTAATAAGGTGACTAAACTATCTTTTACAATACTATGTATTTCATTTGAAAAGCATTTTCAATGACAACATGTATTTTCATAATGAGAAAGTAAAACTGGACTGCTGAGTAGTTCGAAAATCAAGTTCTAGTTCCAGCCTTGCTTTGAATAGCTTTGAAGAGTCCCATGGATTTTAGGGATAAATTTTTTTCAAGCGTAAGAGGCAGGTCTGCAACCAAATGAGATCTCTGTGCTCTTCCAAGTCTAGAGCTCTGTCTCCTTGAAGGAGTGGCACAGTGAAAATAATCACGGGTGTGACGGTTCTGTTGTAAAGACTGTTTATCAATGGAGAACGACAACTGTTACGGTCTGTGTCTAGTTGTCCTCCCAAAGCCTCATGCAGTTATTGGGCAGATTTCTAGACTTTGTGATTAACTCATGTTCCAGTACTGGGATGATGGGTGTGAGCACTATACCTGGGGTGGATAGCCTGAATGCAATTCGAGACAGGCCTGCTTGCCCTTGCCACTGTTGCCACTACTCCTCCCATTTGCTCTTGCCATGTGCCGCTCTGCCTTGAAGCCAGCTGAGTGTAGACAGAAACCTCCACCAACTGTGAGTGAAATAAACCTTTCCTTCCTTACTTTTGGGTGTCAGGTATTTTGTCCCAGCAATGAGAGAAGAGTAACTAAGACAACAATCTTTAAAATACGATGTTACAGTAACTAAAAAAAATGCAACCAGGCACTGAGCTACTGCAGAGGTTGAGGTGGGAGAAGGGCAAACTGGTTAACTGAGCAAGAGCCTGGGTGGGATGCAGCTCAGTGGGAGAGGACCCTGTGTTCAACTGCCAGTCCTGAAAGAGAGAGATCTGGAGACAGAAGAGTGCATACGTGTGCCACCAGCTGTGCTAAATAACGCCAAGGTAATACATGCACACTTCACATTAGAGCATTTCTGTGCGGGTACAGGGAAGCTGGCATTAAGTCAGAGGTCTGGGCAATGGGAAGCAGCGCTGGTGCTGGAATTCATTTTGTGATGTGCCTTTGTGCTTGTGTGTTTCACCTATTTATTTTGGTGCTGGGCCTTGATGACCACACAGTCCTGTATATCACTGAGCTACAACCCCAGGCCTCTGTCTTTTATTTTTGTGGTATTGGGGATTGAACCCAGGGCCTATGCTCTACCCTGAGCTACATCTTCAAGCTTCTGTATTATTTTTTAAAAACAATACAATAAATGTTAGGAAGATCTCGTTAGCACAGGCATATGAATACCTTGGCTACAGTGACAAATGACACAGAACACGCTCATCTCCCTTGTTTAAACGTTTCCATCACTCCCCAGACACATGACTTCTGCCTTTCCTGGGCTGGCAGGGCCTTCTCAGTGATGCCCAGTGCATTTCAATGCACCTTCCTTGCACTCCAGTTTGTGTTCTGTAAATTCCTAGAAATCTTAAGCTTGAAGGCTGCCTCTGCAATATCAGATCACTATCTACTTGGGAATTCCAACTACCCTGCTGGGGAGGAATTTCAAAAGCAAGGGTCCTCTAAGGGGCAAAGCACCCCTGTTCCACAGCTGAGGAGAAAGGAGAAAACTGAAGTTACTCTCAGAAGGTCAGATGGCTGCTTCTCCACTATGTGTAATTAACCTAAGCAGCTGCTCTCTGGAGTTTCATTCAGCAAAAGTAGGTTAATAAAGGAAGCCTTTGGATTTTAGATATTGGTAGATTTGGGGCCACATTAGGATTTAGAAAATTAATTTGATTTCTTTGCTCAGAAAATGTCTTCCTGCGCCAATGTGTAGTAGAACCAATCAGGAAAAAGAATGTTCCTTAAAAATGAAAAGCCATGGAGATGCTTGGGCTCTACCACTAACCATATAGTGGTATTTGAAATGTGTTTCATTTGAGGGAGAAATTAATGTGATCTTCCTGAGGGCAGGCATCCATGGGACTAGGTTTTGAAATTCCCATCTCCACCATGCAGCTAAATTAGCCACAGTTAAATAAATCAGTAGCTCACCAAGATTCCGTTGCGAGAAAGAAAGGCCGAAGTGCCACTGGCTCTGGAGGACGAGGAGGTCAGAAAGAGCCTGGGATATAGGCAGAATCGTGGATCAAGTGTCTGAGCTCATTGGGAAATTTTCTTCTGAAAGATAGAGATTTAACAATGAGGACAAAAATGCCAAATTTGAATTCCATCCTCAATCCTAAAGCTCTCACTCCAGATATGAGTAAATGAGCACTCTTCACCAGTTAGATTTTGTTCCATAGCTGTCAGACCTTTTTAAAATATGTACATTTCTATTTTTATAATGTCTATTATTTCTGGTTATAAAAGTAACATTACAGAGTGATTGGAACAGAGAAATGTGTAAAGAAGAAAGGGAGCACACTTCCGCTGTGGGCAGAAGGTTTGAGCTGGAAACTGCTTGCTGAAATAGCCTTTTTATCTTGAAAAGAAGGAAAAAGAAGAAAAAACATGAAAAAGTCATGATAATCCACGATAAGTACTGAACATTTTCAAATACTGTGCTTTTTTCTAGTCTTTTTTTGAGTATATGCAGGCAGGACGAAGGTGTTTACATGGGTTATGGAACTGGAATATTACCTTTCTGTTGTTTTTTCAACTGACACTTTGTTGTTAGCTATTTCTAAAGCTGTGATGATTACTTCTCTTCAAATCTTTCTGATTGATGCTTATTTTCCTAGCATAAATTCCTGAAGTAGGATTAAAGTGTCCGAGAGTAAAAATATTTTTCAAATGTTTGATACGTATCACCTAATTATCTTCCAGGAACTCATACTTACTACAGTGTCCTTTATAAAGTCAATCTCATCAAAACTGAATAAGCAGAAGTACAGATATACATGCTAAAATAACGGCATGAAATATTTCATGTTTTGTCTGCATTGCTGTTTCTTCAGGTTTTAGATAAGGCATACTTCTTTTCTAGCTCTCACCTGTAATATTTTAAAGTTTCTTATTTTATTCCTGCTGGCCTGACCTTTTTTGTTTGTTTGTATGTTAGGGAAGGGTCTACAGGGTGTTTAGGGTCTCACTACTAGATTGGACTCATAGTGATTTTCCTGTTTTACAGCCTCCCAAGAGCTGGAATTACAGGTGCGTGCCACCTCCACCAGTCTCAATTGCCGTCTCAGTGTGCCACGGCACTGCAGGCCTGTCTATTAAAGGGTGTTTTATTTTTTGTGGTAGTGGGGATCACACTCAGGGATGCGCTATGGTTGAGCTGAATCCCCAGAACTTTTTAATATTATTAAGGTTGAAACAGGGCTCATTAAACCGCTAAGACTGTTCCCAAACTTGGAATGGTCCTGCCTCCCACAGTGCAGGGATTTCAGGCCTGTGTCACCACTCCCAGGTTAGGGAAAAAGATTTTATACTGCCAAAACAAATCTTTCACTTCATCCATGGTTTTTATTAGAAAGTCATGTTAACTGTAAGGAGAGTATTTGCTTCGGGTTAATTTGTGATTATATTTTGTTTACTTGTTTGTTTGTGGCACTATGCCTAGGGTGTTACACATGTTAGGTAAATGTTCTACCACTGAGCTACATTCTCAGCCCTAATTTATAATTAAAAAACAGCAAAAATCTTAACTTTTAGCCAGGTGTGGTGGTGTGTACTTGTAGTTTCAGCTGTTTTATTGGCTAAGGTGGGAAGACTTCCTGGGCTAAGTCTGAGTTTGAGACCAGCCTGGGCAGGATAGCAAAACCTCATCACAAAATAAGGTAAAATTGAGTCTATTCCTACTGGAAACATTTGCAAGAACAGTATGAGTAGGGCCACTGACAGAATTTTCCCGTTTTTCAGCATGGCTTAATGAACAGTCTCTTCCCCATGATTCTGCAGAAGTTCTTTATTGCATGTTGTAGTTGGCCCACAGCTGCACATGGGCTCACACCAACCTTCTGCACCAGGAGGTGCGGCACCGTCTTCCTACTTACATGGTGAGCACCCAGAGAACCTCCTGCCTAGCACCTGGTGTTCTGTCCAGGGTAGGTGGCTGATAAACCCCTGTATGAAATGCACAATGAATCACTGATACACCTAGAAATTTAACTTGATAAACAAATGTGTGTCTTGGTACTTTATCTACCTTTTAGAAAAAGGATGTGTCTGTCACTTTTTTTATTTATTTTATTTTTTATTTTTTATTTTTTTTTATTTTTAAGGTCTTCTTCTTTTTTATATATTTATTTATTTTTATTTATTACATTTATTTATTGTGTGTGTGTATGGCCAGCTCAGCCCACCAGGGGGCGGGTCTGGCTGGCATGTGGTGCTGGGGATCGAACCGCGGTCCCTGTGCTTTGCCAAGCTTGTTTCAAGTAGGTGCTTTAGACCACTGAGCCATCTCTCCAGCCCCTGTCACTTTTTTTAGTGATCTTTTCAGCTCATGATTTTTTTTTCTGATCAAGCCTCGTTTATTTTTTTTTTCTGATCAAGATGATTTTCTCTTTTATCTCCTATTATTTGATCTAATCACTTCCATTTTTTTTTTTTTTTTTTTTTTGAGATAGTGTCCAGGCTATTTGTGAACCACAGCAACCCTTCTACCTCAGTTTCCCAAGTGCAGGTTTCCCACGTATGCACCACTGTGCCTGGTATCCCTTTCATCTTTAGAACATAATGCTGATTTCTTATGGGCCTCAAGATTGGGCCTGAATTCCAGGCATTTTAAGTCCTCCTTTTCCAAGAATAGTTAAGATGCAGGCTGGGATGCAGCTCAGTGACAGAGAGCTTGCCTAGCATGTGCCAGCCCTGAGTCTCATCCCCAACAACCCAAAGGAAAAAAATGCAGTAAGAATAATACTGGGCCTCTTTGCTCATGCCTGTAATCCCAGCTTTCTGGGAAACTGACATAGGAGGACTGTACATTCGGGCCTTATCTCAAAATAAATAAGATAAAAAGGGTATGTAGCTCATTGTGAAAGTTGTAGGTTTAATTTCTAGTACTGTAAAGAAAAAAAGTTATGATGCAACTGGGTCACTTTTTCTCACACTAGAGTAGTACATAAAACATCATTTAAATACACTACCCGTCCTTACAGGTATATACAACAAAAGAGGGTGTTCATGGCAGACATTCGTATGATCCAGAATATGCATGACATTCTTTTAAAAACATTGTAATTAAAGCAAAAGCACAGATTTCAAGGATTACTAGAGAACTTGGACTAAGAGTATATGTCCTGATTATAGCCTAACAGCATAAGCCAAAGATTTACTTTATCGTAAATCATATTTAACTCACAAACTTTGCTATTTTTCTTGTGCCTACCAAGTCTTCAATGCTCAACTTAACTGTGAATAAGCCCTAATCTAGAGAAAACTGAATCTGCCTACGCTTGTAACTATTATACAACTATGAAACCGAAACTAAACATGAGCAAAATCATGAAGCAAATGCTTCAAATAACCTTATTTGAGACAGATATTTTTGATATTGTTTTATATCAGCACTTTATATCAAGTGCTAAACAAAAATGTCTCTTCAAATCACACAGTATTGCCAGCTAGCAAGAGGGTTTGCTGTTGTTTGTTCATCATACCCACTCCCCAGTGAAAAGACTTACCTGCTTTTTTGGTGGACAGGCGCTAGCAGGCCCAGTTGATTTATTAAGTTTATTTCTTCACTTCTTCAACCATTAATCTTTATTTATCTTCAAGAAACTTTCAGAAATTGAACTGCAGCAATCAATCCATCAGTGTATTTATCAACAGTACCAATAGTCTACCAATACTTATCAACAACTCTCCAAAATTCCACCAATGTTCTTTGAAAGAATTTGTTTCTGAAAGTTGGGTTAGTACAACTAAGCTGACTTTTGCTTTATGGGTTGTAATAAAACATGTTCTGTTATCATTATGAAATGAATGCTCTTTCCAGAACTGTAAAGAAATAGCTTTGAGCTGAAAAGTATTCAGCATAGTTATTTAAGTGAAATATTTTTTTAAAAAATTATAACTTCCATCTTGTATCCTATGCAAAACAAATGCAAAGAAAATGTGGTTATTATTTGTAGATATAAGAGCCCAAGTATAATAATTATAAAAGAGAAGTTCTCTGTAAATTTTTATGGAATAAATTGCCCACATTTTATAGCAAAACACCTTTCAGGACTCTTAGGTTGCTCCAGATCCTGCTTCCTAAGAGTTTTAGAAAGCTGTTGACTTTTGAAATGAACATGTTGATCTGGGCATAAAGGAGGAAGATATGTAGAAAAAAGAAGAGATGCCAAGTCACAATGCAGCAGGCAATTAATTAAGAGTCATGCTCTTTGAAACATATGATTGAGGAGCTCTGAAAATCTTAGAATAACAGAGATGCATTTCCTTCAAGTGACTTTACTGGTGTGATTTATTACCAGGGCTCAATCAATGGGTGGAGATTGGGGCTGCATAGTGGTTTTCAAAGGGGAGCAATTGTGCACCCGAGAAGACATATGGCAATGCCTGGCTGTCACAATTGTGGGGGAACACGCTTTAATGGTATCTAGCTGTTATAAGACAAGGTGTGGTTCAGTATCATTCAGAACACAGGACAGCACATCAATTATCAAGCCAAAAATGTCAATTGTGCTAGCATTCAGGAATACTGGATGAAGGTGTCTAAATCGGAAGATTGTATTCTTGTGTACATATAGCCTTATAGAAGGCTGTATCTTGGTGTATCCTTTTGCTTTATAAAGCACACACACACACACACACACACACACACACACACAGAGTCTATGGAGCAAGTGCACAAGTATTGTACAGTACTACCCAGAATCTTTCCACACAACCTCTTGGAATGCAGGTTAATCACAACAGGACAGTTATGGGTTTTTGCACTGAATCAGCCACACAATAAGGCCATGACTGATGGAACTACATAGGGAACAGATAGAAGTAAAAGTTCAAAACATTACAAGATTCATTGATTCCTTTATTCATGTATCCAGCAAATCTTTATTAAACACACCAGTCTGCTAGGCCCGGTGACCCATGATGAGCACAACATGGTCCGGGACCCTCAAGGAGCTTACAACCTACAGGGCACTGAAAAGGCTGCCAACAAGAATCCTGTTTATGAAATGATAACTCTCACGATTGAGGACCATTTACACAGCAGCTTGAAAACTATTCACATGTGCGTTATGAGACAGCCCTTATTTCCTTCTTATGTTAAAAGTGTGCCCAAGGTCAAAAGTTTGTAAAAGGCAGAGCTGACACTTCAGCCCAGGGACACTGAGGGCCTCGTTCTATTGTTCCACAGAGCAGGGTTACATACAGGCACTTTTTCCTTGACTTGACCTGGAATTTCCTTTCCTGCTCCCCACTGACATACAGGTAAAAAGCCTTTCTCCTTATGGTAGAAGAATATATATGCCCCAATCCTCTCCACACTCTTGCTTATGTAACTCCTGCAGATTATGTTCTAGCTGTTCCCTGTATATATGTCTGTGTTTCTAATTAGACTGTAAAGTCCTGACCTGCGAGGACCAGATCTCCCATTTCCTTTGCAACCTTTTGTAGTACCGTAGTCATCCAATAAATGCCCTCTGCATGAGTGGACCTGTAGAGATAAAAATATTTTATGGTATTCCCATTTATTGGTGTCATGCTTTATTTTGCTTTGTGACAAGACTGTACACTATAAGCTTCTAGAGGGCAGAGAACATGGCTTGGTGCTTCCTTCCACTCAGCAGGCACCACGCAAAATTTGATCCTTGCATGCCTTTCCGATGCTTCGGATAATATTAGCACACTGGGTGTTTGTGCGTATCTAAGGACCGAGGCTGTCAGCCTCTCTGCGGCGGGGAATGTTCCTTCCTTTCCACTGTAAGCTCCCATGGCGCCTAGGACAGGGCTCGATTACTGCGGAAGCCCCCCCCCACGCTTATTTTTATTTCCAAGGAAGCTGACTGTGAAAATGGCAAGCGCTTGCATAACCCCCGACATGGGGAGGAAATGAGCAGAATGGAAGGGGATCTGAAGTCAGGTCAGACACGGCCTGGGCGAGAACGCGGCAGCTTTCCCGGCCGACGGGCAAGCCTGGAGCTGGGCGGCCCGCAGTTGGGGCCGGGAGCGGGGAGAAAGACCACGAGACCCCCGCCCGCCCTCCCGCCCCCCGCGGCCGCACCCCGGGAGCTGTCCAGACGCCGCCCGCGCCTACCTGCGC